AAAATATTCACGGTTTATTCAATGAAAACGTAATTTGTAATTATTCGCGTGGGTGGTATTTTTGATATTTCAACATTATGTCTCAATTTTCATTATTCTTTTTAATGATTCATATTTAAATAAAGGTTGATAATATTCTTACATTCTTTACACAAAGATACACGCAAATTTTCTTAATATTGCATTGAAACAATTTGCGCTAAATACAGTTTTTTTGACTAAAAGTATTAAATATCTTGTTAACCATTACTTAATTTTTCAGCTAAAAAATTAATTTGAGACGCTACGATTGCTGCAAATTACTCTGTGTTTCAGAAATTCTTTAAACTTATGTATATACAATGCCAATAACGGCTCAGTAAAATAACTGTTACGAATTATTTAAAATAACAGTATAGAATAAGTTCCAGAAACTTACTTAAAATATAAAATCGTAGAAATCGGAAAAAACTGATACGACTTGTTTAAAGTAAAAAATATACAACAGTTTTCGGAAACTTATTTAAAATATTAAATAAGAAATAAGTCAGTGATTCAAAAATAACGAAGAAACAGCAAAATGTCAATCTTTTATGCAAAATATTGTTCTAAAGGAAATTAAGTTAAGTTTAAGTTTTAAACTTTCTTTAGAGACTTATGGATGGATTCCATGATTGAATTTAACAAAAATACATGCTGTCCTAAGTCACCTACACTTGTTCCAAGTCGCCCACATTTATTCATTCCCTTACCGATGCTCGTACAGATGGGTAGTCGTGTCGCGTGTCGCTCTTCTTCACATTTCTTTTTGAAACCTTATCGCGAAGAATACCAAACATAATACGAAACGATTAATTAATATTAATAATGTCAATAATTATAATTATTATTAATATTATAATTATAAATCATTGTCAAGAATTATAAATCATAAATTATTGCTAATAATCATAAATTATTGTTAATAATCATAAATTATTGTTAATAATCATAAAAAATTGTCAATAATTATAAATTATTATTAATAATCATAAAAATAAACTATTTTTTCTTATTTTCCTGATATACTGTATGATAAAAACGATTGTCGAATTGCCTTCGTGGCGCAATCGGCTAGCGCGTTCGGCTGTTAACCGAAAGGTTGGTGGTTCGAGCCCACCCGGGGGCGGGAATTTTTTTTCATCGTGACATTAGTAATATTGTCCTTATGATATTTTGGTCGATAATCTTACTTTTAAAACCGAAATAATAATGAGCTCTTATCAAGTAACGTGTAGTTAAAATTGGGAATAAAAAAATTTTAATTAAAATTTTACAAGGTTCCACACAATTGGGTTATGTATACAATTTACATAGATAGTAATCACAATAATCGCAAAAAAAATATGACGCGCTTGTTTGTCATAATATATAATGCAGTTGTTTATGTTTATAAATTATTTTCACACTTGTAGATGTATTCATGCAATTAATATTTAAAATTGCCGCGCGAAGTTACGTCAGATTGCCAACATCGAAGATCGTGGCGCTCGTAGTTTCCCAATTATCACGGACTCCATTACTCCATTTTCCTCTTATCGTCTTGTCGATTCCACGCGAGAAGAAAACTGAATATTTCAACTAGAACGATTTATTACGTAAGAATAAATTGTTTTTATTATAAGCGCTAGCGATTATTATCAATTTTAATTTAATTATATATTCGTATGATATAAAGAGATGGATACTGATATTAGATCGACGAACAAAAGAGTTTAGTTTCACCGGTTGTGATACACTCGTTGCCGCTTCATTTAGGAAATATAAAATAACAGATGATTACACAGTGTCATAACTGAAAAATTTTTTATACATTTATTATTGTCATTTCCTCCTCTTTTTTTCTTTGCTAAAGATACGCGTATTTCAAATATACTTTTCTCAATATTTTAGGTTAGAATAGTATCATGATTATTAAGAATTTATTATAGTAATATATGACAGATTTCATCATCCCATATTATATAATAATATTTCATGTTTTGTAGGTAGCATACATTTGATCATGGCACAATTTTTTAATCGATTGGGTCAACTCGGCCTAGGCATAGCACTGACCGGCGGTGTTATTAATTCTGCATTGTACAATGGTATGGTATCTCCTATTTCTATGCGTTAATCAGTTATGTCATTTTCTTAAATTAATATATAATTTTCTTAATTATTAGTTTATAATTTCCTTAAATTAATATACTAATATATTTTTTAGTTGACGGCGGTCACAGGGCAGTTATATTTGACAGATTTGCGGGTATAAAAAATACCGTGATAGGAGAAGGGACACATTTCTTTATTCCTTGGGTGCAAAAACCAATTATTTTTGATATTCGTTCACGTCCGAGAAATGTTCCTGTTATTACTGGGAGCAAGGATTTGCAGAATGTAAATATCACTCTTCGTATCCTCTTCAGGCCTGTGCCAGATTCGTTGCCTAAGATATATACGATACTCGGTGTTGACTATGACGAAAGAGTATTACCTTCTATTACCACTGAAGTGTTGAAAGCTGTTGTCGCACAATTTGATGCTGGTGAACTAATTACACAAAGAGAAATTGTGTCTCAAAAGGTCAGCGAAGATTTAACAGAAAGAGCTGCACAGTTTGGATTTATTTTGGATGATATTTCTCTTGTAAGTACAATTACATTTATTATCAGGTAACAAAAAAGTTATTATTTTTGCAGATTTACAAAATTTAATGTATGTGACGCGAAAGATTCTACAAATTGTATTACAATGGCCGTGTTCGTATATTACTGCCATTTGTCAGTACAGTATAGCATACATAATGGAAACTATAGATTTTTAGTTCTGGCAATCAACTGACAGTAATATACGAACATGGTCAATATCAGTGACACTAAAAGTAAGATTATATAGAGAATCTGTTTATCTATTTACATATTGAAAATTGGAAAGGAGATGCCATAACATTGTAAAAATTGACCCAGAAATAAGCACTTCAATCTCAATTAATCATTCTTGTCTGAATTTAAAAGGCTATGCAAACAGCCTAAAGGTATACTAGACTTATGGAAAAGGCACAGCCTTTTAAGTTTAAACTTATATAGCATACAAAGACGAATAACTAAACTTGAAGTAATTATGTCTATAATGTTCTCACTGTGAACATCGTCTACTAAATATCAGCGTTTTCATTAAACCTAAAAATTTTATGATCATGTACACACAGATATTATTATCAACCTCTTCATTCATTTTATTGGAATTTAATGAACATTAACAAGATGTAGATCATTAACAAGATGTGGACAGAAGAACTAGTCAACATTTGGCTATATTAACTCTCTTATATCGATACTCTTGACGATTGTTACTCTGATATTTGTAACGATGTTTATGATTATTTTATGTAAATATTAAGTTTATGAACTGAAGAGGATCCAAATTAGGAAATGTATATTTATCTTTTATAATGAAGTATATATATATATATATACATATAGAGATACACTTACAACTTGTATTGACTCTCAAAGGCGCTTCTCTTTAACATTTTGATTTACTCAGAACCTTTACTTGAATTATTTATTTAAGCTTGGAGTGCTCATTTTTAAATTAATTTTCACATTGTTATGGTACTTTCTTTCCAATTTTCTGTATATAATAAACTCTGCAGTACGTCTTGTTTTCAATGTCATATATTTGTAACATAATCTATCAAGCCTTTGTCATCACATATATTAAACTTTGTAATTTTGAAGAAACAAAATCTTTTTTGGTCACTTGATATATACATTGTATTACAACAAAGAAAAAATATGAACGATATATGCAATCAACATATAAATTATCATTATGTTTTAAAATTCTTTTAGACACATTTAACATTTGGTAAAGAGTTTACTCAGGCAGTAGAATTAAAACAAGTGGCGCAACAAGACGCGGAGAAAGCCCGTTTCTTAGTAGAAAAGGCTGAACAGCAGAAGAAAGCAGCTATTATTAGTGCTGAGGGTGATGCCCAGGCCGCGAGTTTATTAGCAAAATCTCTAGCTGAGGCAGGAGAAGGTTTGGTTGAGCTCAGAAAGATCGAAGCTGCGGAAGATATCGCGCATAATTTATCCAAGTCTCGTCAAGTGGCATATTTACCTTCGGGTTTAAATGTGTTGCTTAATTTACCGCAGTAAAATAAACGAATTGTTACATGTTTCTACATGAATTGTGCATTTATATCATGAGAAGTTTATCGCTGTAATAGAGTGAGAGAGTGTAAAAAAGAATATAGTCTATATATGATAAAAACTTCCCTGAAGGCTGCATAGCAGGAATACATAGTATTTTGTAACATTTAAATGATTTAATTGGTGAATTTGCGCCATTTTATAAATGTATTACGTCTCTATACCGTTTAGTTGCTAAAAACTCCAGTGTTACATAATTATTATTTATTAACATTAATGTAGTTTTATATCTACAATTTGTAGATTTGAAAAATTCGAAGAAATATCCATATATTGATGGACGTTCTACATACTTAAGAGAAATAGCTTTTCAGAAAATTATTAATTCTCATAATATCTTTAATTTTTCATATAGCAAGCATGTACAATTGAAAGGAAAACGAAAAATTCATTTATTGCACATACACTCTAGGCTCGTATTGAAATTGAAATTATAATTGTTTAATGAGTCAACCAATTGAATATATTTCATAATTTAAGTTTATTCTTAACATATCATGTGAGTAATCGTTATTTTGCTATTCTTAATTTATTCAATAATTTTTCTTTTATATCTGATAAAACAAAAATCAAGTTACGAATCTAATTTCGCACTCAGAAGTGTCGACATGTACTTTTTAAATCCGCGGTAACGAAAGGTCTCGGATCGGTAGGTGATCCGACCTGTTCGTTCCGGACGATCCCTTCGAGCGAACCATCCGATGGATCGCCATGATCAATCAGGAAGTCGAAATTGGTGGAAGATTATCTCGGTCGGGGTGCTCGCGTCTCACCTCTGTCGGCACAAGCTGTTAATAGAGAAAACAATCCATCATAATTTGGTGATCGTTGCGGGGTGCCTTTAGCATGGTGGTCCACTGTAAAAATGTAAAATATACACGATGATGTCTGTTGCACTTACACGTGTTTCGGTTACCGGTTATTAATGTTCGATAGATTTATTGCGTGCCTTACGACGGGAGCGAATAATTAACAGATCGATTCATTTTTTTAAATCTCGGATATTGTAGGATATTTCAACGCTTATTTTCTAAAATTCTTTTTTGAGAAAAAAATTTTATACCAATATTATTAATTTGCTCCAATATATAATTTGCAAATTTTTGTTTGCTTTGATGTTAAAGTTACAAGGAAATCTGTAGCAATGCTAGCTTAGCGCAATATTGATTCAAAAATGAATCCCACCTTTCTGATTCTCAAAGATGCTGAACACTGTATCATCACGCAGTATGCATCGTTTGCTTCACGGTTGTGCCGCACGATAATAATATAATATAATTTCCGCGAATAGAGAGAGGCATAAGTGAGAAAGAGAGAGAGAGAGAGAAAGACAGAAGGAAGCACCAAGGAGGGTTCGCGGTGGCAGCAGCACGGGGCGAGAGCAGATTAGCGTGAATAATGAAGACACGACCCCGTGAAAGCCTAAGCGGGTCTCCTTAAGTCTGTTCCTTCGAGTAGAAGCCGAAGCTGGAAAGGGAGGATGCTGAGGAAGAACGGGAGGGAGGTGGAGCGGACAGAAAGGAGGTAGAAGCAGTTAATTACTCCTCCCATCCACGGGATAACGACTTCCCCTTATTTGTCGAGAGGCGCAAACAGCCAACCCTCTGCAAAATCCCTTGCCAAGACGCTTTCTCCAGTGTATACGCGTACATTTGACTTCATATATACTGATATACATATATACGTGTATCATGCCATGTATAATATATATGTATATCTATATACGCGCGTAGGTAGACAGAACCAAGGACCACCCGGTCCATCTCGGAATACCTATTTCGTATACATCCTCGATCGATCGGTCAGAATTTCGCGAGGGGATAATCTTGTGTTAAATCGAAAATGCAAACCTTAGCCCAAGATAAATTAAATTTAGGGCAGTAGTAAGATGATCGGAATATGAGACGTTTTTATCCAAAAGTCCTTTAAGAAAGCTTTAAGATCTAAATGTAGTAACAAGGTAATTATCTAGAATGATAATTAAAAAGCTCTCTATCGCGTCATTTATTGAATTTCTCAAATCTAAAATTTAAGTGAGCTATATGTTTATCTTAATCCCCCCTGTGGAATAGATAGATTTATTGGATTCGTTCAATTATAAATCTTTGTCAAAAATGTCAAACAATTCAATTTTTTTATGTTATATCTGTAAATTTGAATTATTCTTATTAAAATATACTTAGGTCCTTATTCAGTAACTTTTAATTAGTGTTGGTACATTACTCCTTAAATTCTTTGGTGGAATTTCACTTTAAAGACTAAAAATTAAGTCAATCTCGCAAAAGAATAGCTCCATTTTTAATCTTTAAGAATGAGATTCACTCAAAGAATTTTAAAGAATACGTTGCGCAGCTTTTTTATCATATATAAAATAATAAAATCTTTGCAACGACAATGTAACGATACTATTGTCAAGAGTTATAGAATAGTAGCCCTAGTATTTATTCTTTTTTATACTTTTTATTGTTTTATTACAATTGAATTATATGTTATTTTAATTCCTTGAAATTAATTGGTGCCTTTTAAGTAACATAAATTAAATGATTCCTACAGACCCAGCGTCAGTAGCTGTGTTACAGATTTTAGCGCAGCTCCGAAGAGTTAATATTCTTTTGCGCAGATTTATCTTCAAGCGAGATATACTCTCGTTTAAATTCGTATGAACGATACATAAAATCATTGTTACTCGCCGTCGTTGTCTCTTCGCTAAGTCGAAGGGCCATCGACAGCTATGGGGTGATGTGGTATAACACATGTTACAGGTTCGAGCCACGAAACATGCAACGAAACAAATGTTAGGTACGCCCGAATACACGTACGGGATGCGAAGGAAGCGGGAGAAAGAGAAAGAGAGAGACTAATTACGAAAGAAATCATAATAGGCACACATGCATCGCGGGCTGTCGGGCTAACGATCGGGCTTCCTCCGCCGCATCTGCACCTGTTACTCGGATCCTATGGTCGCGCCGATGCACGCGAGCTGCATATGCCGATGGCCTTCCTCAGAGACAAAACGCCTAAGGCTTATTGCCTCTCGTCGGAGTCCCCATAGATCCCAACTCGAGAAGGATGAAATTATGTCCTCTAGAAATTCGCTGCTTGCAACAAATTTTCTACATCTTAACGATTCGCAGAAGGCGAAGAGGAACAGAAAGAAATTGACAAAAATTTATCCTGAAGTTAAATTCTCAATCTTCAAAGTAAGTTCTAAAATATTCTGGTTTCATTAATTAATTTTAACAATTTGTAAATTTTCTCTCTCTTTCTACCTGCATTAATATATACTCTCATAGTTGAACATCATAGCTGTGCATAAACACGAAACGTAATCGCTCACGACTCGGCGATGCTCGAGTCGGAGACTCAAGCCCTACGTAAGGAACCGGCGCGATTAGTTATTAGACACGACTAGCTACATCATCGATATTAATGATACGAGCGGCGGGCTTTAAAATTTCCATCGATTAGGTCCGCCGAGACGCAAACTGCGCCGCTGCGCTGGCTCAACTCGCGAGCGAGCGAACGAGCGCGTTTCCTATCTCGAGTTCGTAATCGTAATTAACATCTCGACCGTTCCGTTTTACCGCGTTAGAGAGAAAGGGAAGTATCGCCGAGCTTGAGAAGTCGCTCACGCACGACGAGTCAGCGTAATAACGGCCGCTTTGAACTGACCACGACCACGAGAAACCAACGATAAATGGGGAGCGGTCCGGGGTCCACCACTGCTCGTTACAGAAATCTCGTTAATTAAGGTGGAAAATGCATGAGCATAAAACTGCCGCCGGTCCTGCCGTTGCGCCTAAAGGCAACGAACGAGCTTTTTGTCTTGATACGGTCCACGGGGCAATGCAGACTGTAGTCCCGTTGGTCCGCCCTTGCTGGCTGTCGCTGTTTTGCATTAACAGTCGACGATGAAATTGGATGAACCGCGATTTTAAACACTCGTGCTGACCGCCGTCATCGTCGTCGTTTCGGCTCTTTTCATCCTACCGACGAGTCGTGCGTATGATTACGCACTTTGTTCACGATTCTCGGGTAATCAACGCCGGATATTTACGTTCACGAGTTCCATCGAATTGCGCTTTTCATCGTAGCTCTATGATGAAACACACGCAGCAAAATATAAACGTCGTTATTATTAGAGATAAAATGTCGAGAGAGAAGTCGATTAAATAAGCATCAAATGCTGACGTCGCGTCCTTAAATTGGTCGCGATTGGTTGCGTTTTAAGCAATTTGTTCAGCAAATCGTTTCGAAACTTGCACGTATCAGAGATTAGCATTCTTCTAATAAGATAAACTGCGAACAGTTTAATATCTTCGCTACAATCTTTTCAAGTTTGTCGAGAATAGTAAGACCTAGTTGATGCGAAAATTGATTGCAACCATAACTGCTGCCGTCTATTTGTTAGCGCGGTTGCACGCAAGCAACAATTTGGAATTAGAATGCCCTTTTAAGTACTCATCCGTAAAATTTCCTCCCTTTCTCCACCTAGCATGAGAATTTCCTTCGGGCTCGAAACGAGGCCCGGCTGTAGCAATCATCACCACCGGATGGCCGGGGTGTGAAGATATTACTCTAAAGTGTTTTAACCCGTCAAAGTAAGCGCAGGCCGTTCGCCTTCTGTAGTCGCAATTTTGAGAAGACTGAGCCAAGACTGAGTCAGATTTTTCCTTTTGTTCGTTCCCTCTCCCTCCTCCTTCCTCCCTTCATTCGAAACCTCGCACGCGAGGAATAATTTTCAATAAATACGCCGCGCGATCCGTCCTGAAGAACAGTCTCTTAAATACGATGGATTGGCCATACGTTCGTAAAGTATATATAAGATATGAAAAAATCATCTTTCCTAAATTTTTCTTTTCCTTCGAAAGTTTCATATTTCTTCTCTATACTCTCTAAAATCTCTGAAGTGGAATCCAACTCTAAAGAGTGAAATCTTATTCTTAAAAATTGACAATTGAGCTATTCTTTTTCAACACTGGCTCAATTGTCACTTTTTATCACTTTTTAGAATTAAATTTCACTTCAAAGATTTTAGAGAATACGTACATTTCTTAGCTAAATATGTTAGATGTATAACTTGATTCCAGTCAGAAAATATCTTTTTAGCCCTGTCTGTGTCCAAGTTTGTTTGACGAAACTAATAGTTTGTTATGTCGATGTCGATCATTTATGAGGC